GGCAATTAGAAAGGAACGGCAAAAGTTTCTTATCAATACATCATTCAGATTAAAGACTTATTTGCTGGGGAGGTATGTATATTTGTTGTCTTCTCTGTATGGTTGTTGTATATATTTTGTATACCTTTTGATGTCTTAATTCTTTTGTAGGGTCATTTGTTCTCGGTTATCTCATTGACTGGTAATAATGATGTGTTTCTGAATGCTGACTATACAAGAAAGCGTGAGATGAAAGATGAACAAGTGGAATTTCTTCTAGATAGGATCAAAGGGAAGTTTAATTAGAGTACACAATGGGCAATTTCAGAACCTGAAGAGATTGAAATGGAGGAAGCTGACAAAGAGGCTGTTGAGTCAGAAGCTGATGAGATTATGGATGATACTGATGTTGTAGCAGACGTGGAGACCTCTCCCGTTCATGTTGAAGGAAAAGTGAAGAGAAAGATTTATGATGAAGGAACTGAGACAAGAAAGCATAAGTTGTTGCGTAAGCGAGCTGCGGAAAAAAACTGACTCTTGATCCTGAAACCAAGAGTTTCATTCAAGGTCTCATTCACACATCTGTCACTTCCTTAGTAGATAGACTCACTATGAAATGGCGAATATGGAGTCTGGTTTTACAAAGAGGATGGAGAAGATGTAGAGTGAGGTTTCACGAATCAAGGAAGCAATCAGTTTGCGTGGTGAAGGAAGCATGCCTAGCAAGAGCAAAATTAAACAAGCTCCAACGATTAGCAAAGCCAATCAAGCTTCACTTAAGAGAAAAGCCAATCAATTTCCGCCTAAAACAAAAGCCAATCAAGCTCCACCTAAGAGAAAAGTCGGCCAGGCTCCACCAAAGGAAAAAGTGCTGCCTATGAGAAAGTGTAGAACTTGATGTATTTGGAACTAGGATGCTTGATTTAGGGTGATGGAGATAGGTTGTACTTGGAACTTCACATTTTCACTGTGTAATATTATGTAATAGTTTCAGTTTTGTAACATGCAATGGGACAAGTTTGTTCAATAGTTTTGTAATGTGTACTATGCTTGAATGTTTATGTAATGAAAACTCCATGAATGTAATGCCTTGTTTGTGTTATGATTGAATGGATTCTTATATGCTTTTTTGTTTTTAATTAATAGGATGAGAAAAAGATTGATATAGAAACTAACAACTGTGATTTTGGAATGAGTACATAAGAATTTAACAACCTGTCCTAAAATACATTTGTCGAAGGTTTTGATCTTTTTCAAGTTAAAGTAAAAAAGTCAAGAAAATCAAGACCCTTTAACACGTCCACGAATCACACTTACGTGAAGAGAAAATACATCGAGTGGGAGAAGCATCACCAGATGCGACATTAGTGTTATATCCGTGAAGAGGATGGAGAATTTGGTCAACTTCCTACAAGTAACTTAATTCTCACTTTTCTTTCTCATATGCTAAAGAATTTGTGATCTCACATTCATGATCCGTACGCATAATCTGTATGATATCATTAGGCTTTGGCCCTTCCTTGACACTTTCATCAGACTGCATATAGTTTTGGCTGAAGCAGTCTTACCCCCTTTGGTTTTGCTTGAAGGTGCACATGTATGTTCACTGACATACTTTTTAATAATGAAATATGTAGATTACTTTAAACACTATGTTCGAACGCTCTAAATAAAAGCATTATCTTCGCATCTAACATACCAAATTTTTCGACCCGATTTGATAATATGGTAGTCAAAGTTATGCTTCATTGCACATATCCTGAAGGTCGCCTTCAGCAAAGCTTTGTCCTGAAAATGTTGTCTCTTTTTAACAACGTCGAGCAAAGAATACTTGGACATATTGTATTGTTTCTCTTTTTCAGAGATCATGGTATCAGCATCATAGGCATCCCCATCAGATTTGAATTGTTTCATCTTTTTTTTCTTCTCCTTGCTTTGTATCTCAGCAAAAAAACATCAGCTGATTTTTCACCTCTGTAAAATGAGTTTATCTCCTCTTCAGCAGTACTTGAATATGTTGGCAAATTGTTAATATCAAACTGCTTCATTCGGATTTCCAGATTTGGCTTTATATGTTACACACATTCGAGTAGAGACATTCTTTCTAACAAAACCAACAAAATTCTTAAGTTATTGATCATTTGCAGTGATCACAGGTGAACGTGTTAATGTATTGACCAACTCAGTAGGTAGATAACTCAACTCCAAGTCGTCTAAACTAAATTTTTCCATATCAAAATCCTCCAAAACGATTCTTTAAATCCTCTAAGGTATAACTCAATTTTGAATAGTGTACCTACCCCTTTGTCATCAGCCGAAAACACCTATCATGTTATTGCACCTAGTAAAAATTATTAAAAGTTATATTAAGATATGACAAAGATTATTAACAAAAAATAGAATTCACAAAAAAAAAACTTAAACATGCCTAAACAGATTAAATGGGTACCATCAACATAAACAAATTTAACGTTAAACGGGTTTAAACATTAAGTGGGTCCAAACGGACTTAACATTAAACGGACCTAAACTGACAGGATCTAAACGGGTAGGGCCTAAACGGACTGGGTATAAATGCCCTGGTAGCCCATATTAACACCCTAGTCTGATTGTGAGTCTCTGGTTTCTGAGTCTCCAGTTAGAGTAAAGATGTTAACTTTCATGATTGGCCATTCTTTCTCCTCTGGTTCTAGTTCGATTAATAGTATATCTATCGTTTCTGTGAGCGAGTTTACGAGATTTGATCTTTAATTCCATTAACGATCTTCGAGTGATTTCTCTTCTTTTTCTAGAGAAATGGTGACGTTTCTTTGATTCAGAGATTCCACAGATGGCGTTGTTTGGAGAGGAGTTGCAATTTCTGGTGGAGGGTTGAGGTGGAGATTCGCGAAGAAGAGGACAGCTGCTGCGGTGAAGGTGATGCATGTTGATTTGAGGAAGACGATCAAGACAAGCTTTCGACTTCGAGTGTGCTCTATTACGACGCCGTTTAGAAAGAGAGACGTTACCGAGTTTGGGCCTGGAACTAGAGAGGGCTGTATGCAAAGGAAATGAAGTTTTAACAGATCAGATGATAATTTCTCTGAACTAATGTTAGCAACCCAAAAGTAAAGTCCAAGTTTTCATCATGGACAAACATGTTTCACTAATATGAATTGAATTCATGTGTTGTTAAAATATATTCAATGTACTATTTTATTTGTTTCTAGAATATTTTGTAATATAGATTAATTTCACTCTCTATATTAAAATAAAATCACTTATATATTCAGAGAGAAGCATTGTAATAAATGTTTTCACATAGTAACTGACACGTGTTGGTCTCACAATCATTTGACAATTAATGCGTTCACACACTAATTTTTAATTAATTCATTTTCCTACATTTTTAGTTTTTGTATTAATAAATTAAAAAAATTAAGTGAATCTAATGAATAATATCTTAATTGTAAAAAAATTATAAAATCATTAATATTCGTATCAACTAAGATGTTGTGATGAAAATGTTTGTAGAAACTGAAAGTTTCGTACCTTGCCGAAGTTGGTCATGGTTGAGGATTCAGTACACAATAACAACTAATAAGGTGATATTATGAATTAAAGAAACTGAGATGAAAAACACCACACGTAAAGTCGGATCTTTAGTTTAGTCAAATATTAACATTTTTATAAAATTTTCATATCAGACCAAGAATAAGAAACAAAATCAAATTGGTAGAAAAAAATCAAAAATCAGAAAAGCTTTAAAAAGAAATAAAAATCACAAATCGATTAAAACAGAATTAAGGAACCAAGTGAAGATGTCACTTTGTAATATATATTATTTTTATCGTTTACGGGTACAATTTAATTTTCTTCATATGAAAAAAATGTTATTAATTTCTAGGTTTGTTTTATTTTTACTTAATTTTATTGAAGAATTTACTATCATGTGTTATTGTGAAAAAAATGTTTTAAACCTTAATTAACTGTATATTCATATATTTATCATCACATTTATATAGTTTTATATATACATACATGTACACATTGACATGAGCGACTATATAACTAAATATCCACCACAAGTGAGAATTTTAATTCTTATTGAAGTTGAATTTTTTTATCGCTCAAATTGTAGTGAAATGTTTTGTGTTAATAATTTTATTTTTTCTTCAAATATTATTCAGATTTTATTTGATTTTACATGTCTTTTAGAAATTATAATAGGAAACTATTAGTTCGACATAAAAAATGTTTAAAATTCATATAAAACGAAACCAAACAAATAACAATAGTTTTTGGTTATCATCGAAAAATTCAAAAACATCAAACATTTAAACTAAACAAACCAAAATAAATATAGATTTAGAATGATAGCTATATTCTAGGATATTAAAAAAACGTAAAACTGAATCAATATATATGCTAAACAAACATAATATCATTTTTATCTTAAAAGTAACAAAAGTAATAATCTTATTCCGCGCAAAGCGCGGGTTATTATCTAGTAAACAGTAAAACGTAAAATTTATTAATCCTACTTAATTATAAAGTGAAAATTAAATAGAATTAGAAATATTCTTATGACAAAATCTTCAAATTGCATTATCAGATTCTGCAAAGTCTTAAAATGTACTTCCTCTGTGTTAAAAAAATTAAATGTTTTAGTTTTTTACACATTAATAAAAAATATAAAATTTTGATTACCAATGTATCATTTATTATAGATAAAAAATTTCTATATTTTTTAACCAATAAAATTTTAGAAAACAAAATTAATTTTTTTGGAATCTATAATTTTTCATTAAATTATATTTTTTCGAAACAAATTTTTTTTCTAGAATGTTAATCTTTTTGAAACGGAGGGAGTATAAACTAAGATCTTGTCCAAAAGATTGATCATTTTCTAACAGTTTGATGAGGTTTCGAGATCTAACAGTACCAATTACTTGCTCTGTCAGCATAACTGCCACCGTTTGAGTTATTTGATCAAGAAAGCTCTCGAGTGATTCTATAATCAATGTGACACTTCAATCTCGGACCAGATGATTTCATTGAAGCTCATCGGATTCACAATGAAAAATCTAAAACTACATTATTTAAAAGCCAACGATAGTTGTCACAAAGTGCTCATTGTTCCAAAAACAAGGACAGGACGACTCGACAAAATATAATAATAGACTGTTAAAGTATCCACCACCAACAGACAAGCTTTACTTGTACTTAATGATCAAGGTGACTTGAATCTTTGACCAGATTGTTCCACTGAAGCTCGTGTGATTCATTATGAGAATCTGAAACTACATTATTTAAAAACCAATAATAGTTATGCGACATAACTTTAAAGTCAGAGAGTGCTCAGTGTTCCAAGAACAAGGATAGGACGAGCATTAAAGGTAAGTGAGATCAACAAGCTTCACTTGTAGTCAAATGATGGCACAGAAGGCGCATCAAAACTCTCCAACACCTTAGTCTCACTTCCGCTACTCGTTTGCTGCGGCTCCTCATTCTTCTTACCAAAAAGACCACCAAACCACGTCGATGTCGAAGCAGTATTCTCCTGTGGTATCATCTGCCCCTGACTCGGCACCTGCTGCTGCATCCCCGGCGGCATCCCAGGCGCCATACCCTCCTCCACCTGCATATGCTGAGGCTCAGCCACCATCTTGTTCAACGCAATCCCGGCTCCTTCAATCAAAGCCAACAAAACCCCACCAACAAGCGCAGACCTCACAGCAGCATTAGGCCCCTGACGCATAGACAGAAACCCACCAGTCGCCGCGCCTGCGATGATCGAGTTCCAAGGATCCTCCTTCTGCCTAAGGTACACCATGGAGCAATCAAACGTAGAGAAGAGCCCTCCCCAGACAGCGAAACTACCTCCCACGCGAGGAGCGTTCATCGTCATCCCTTGTTTGCCACCGATAAAGCGACTGCCTTTGGGAGAGTTATACGTTCCTTTGATGAAATGAAATGCACCTCCTCCGACGGCGCCCATACCAAAGGCCCCACCGATGTCGTCGAGGATACGGTCAGGGCATGGCTCTCGTGATGACTCTGGTGTTCCCATCTAATGCAAAAACGATGGTATCGAAACCTGTAACAATAAAGATGGAAAATTGATTGATCAGAAACGTCGTCGTACCCAATGTAATTAGGGTTTCTAATTCCCCATTAAACCAAAAGTTAAAAACTTTTCTACAATCGAGGGGAGGCGATTAAGGTTTGTCGAATCTTACGAAAGTTGTAGACTTAGGGATTGTAATGAAGGCGCGAGATGTGTGAAGGTGCGAAAGAGGAATATAAACGTACCTGGGAAAAATCGAAATTGAGATCGATAGGAAGGGGCGAGTTTTGTGAGAGGAAGAAGAATAAGCGCGACGGAGAGCGAAGAAGAAGAAACGAGTTAAGGCTTTTTTTTTTTTTTTTTAATTAGGGTTGGGCCGACAAGGAACAATAATGGTTCAGAGGCGGTCGAAACTTGGTTGCCTTTTATATGTGTTTTATTTTTTGTCAACTTTTATATATACTAGATGCATAGTCCTTGGATAAATCGTTGATGTGTTGTGTAGTTTTGTGTATGAGACTTTACTATTTTTTTAACATTTGTTTATTTGGCTTATCTATAATGGTGATGAATGAAACATTAGAAGTCATACAACTTGATTAGTCTGATAAAAGAATAAACATCGAATTCATATGAGTTGATATTTTCATATTTTATCTTCGTAGTGATTTTATCGAGCATTCCCTTTATAAAGATTTTATTGAGCATTACTATTATTAGTGCTTTCATGTAAAAAAAAAAATTTAATAGAGACAAGACAAAAAAGGACATGTGTTTATTAGTGTAATTTCTTTCTGAAATTATGTTGTATATATATATATTTTTTTTTTAATTGTGATGTATATGAGTTTTGTGTATGAGACTTTGCTGTTTTTTTAACATTTGTTTATCTGGCTTATCTATAATGGTGATGAATGAAACATTAGAAGTCACACAACTTGATTAGTCTGATAAAAGAATAAACATCGAATTCATATGGGTTGATATTTTCATATTTTATCTTCGTAGTGATTTTATCGAGCATTCCCTTTATAAAGATTTTATCGAGCATTACTGTTATTAGTGTTTTCATGTAAAAAGATAATTTAATGGAGACAAGACAAAAAATAATATGTGTTTATTAGTGTAATTTTCTTTCTGAATTATGTTGTATATATATATATATATATATATTTTTTAATTGTGATGTATATGAGATTTATGGTCGATCTGAATGGTTAGGGGTAAATATTTATTATTGAAAAATATGTTTTTATTTTATTTGATGATTATAACTGAATTGAAATGATATTGGAGGTTAGAACATGATAATTTTTTTTATAAAAGTTTCTAAGATGGTCTCATAAAGTTTCAAATCCTTAAGTCATTTTGTATCGCAACAACCAGCATAAAAAATCATTCTGAATATCCCTAAGCTTTTAGGTATCCCGAAAAGCCCAAATTAAAAAAAAATTACATGCAAACACTGTATTTCGAACCCGCGCACTCGCGATACCAACTTCTCGTCACCATCTTACACCACTGGGCCATTTCATCACTGATCGATAACATTCAATCTTACAAAATGCTATACGTTTTTGTTTATACACGCGTGGGACCCGTAAACTTGCTGACATGGACACGATGAGGAGCTTCAAAAGTGTACTATTATTATATAGATTTTATTTTTCCCTTTTACCATTTACGAGGTGTTTTGACCGCATATGCGGGATTAATTATCTTTAAATCAGTTTTAAAAATCATCAAAATAAATAATTATTTGCGTCCAAAAAAACTTGACTTAAAACATTAAACTTTTTTTACAAAAAAAAGTTATTCACTGATTAAAAAAGTCTGTTTTCCTTTAAAACTTTGAAAAATCTAAAATCTATTTTATTTCTTCTTAATTGATAAAAATATTGAAATATATCTTTCAATTTAAAAAATTGAATCGATAAATATACATTCAAAAATTAATCTTACAGAAAGAATAATATTAGTTTGGATAATAATACAATATATTTGAATTTATTTTTTCCAAACACGTATTTTCTTTCTTTTTGAATGATATTTTATTTTATTATGAATAATTTATGTTTAAGGTTTAATATAAATTTAATTTAACGTGTGAGCTCAGAGGTGAAAAATAACTTCACAAGTATATATCATTATATTCTATTATATATTCTTTTAATTTGAAAATAATTACGTATTATAAATTATTCAATTTTCTCTTTTCAATTATATAAAACTAAAAATTTTACTTTATGAATATTTGTTTATGTTTTTCTGTTTTGATTTTTTGATTAAAATATATTTTTTTGGATAACAACACAATATATATAAGAATTTTATTTTTATTTTATTTTAAAATATATATTTAGATTATGGATGATTTTTATCATTATTATTAATTAAATCATTTATCTAATCAAATAAATATTAAATTCATTTTTCTTGTTGGCTGATTTATATATTTTATTCATTAATGATATAAACGATATTAATCACTCAAACTTTTAACGTGAGAGCTCCGTTGAAAAAAATCACTTCGCAAATATTAATATATATGTTGTGCTGTAAACAGTGAACATAGGAAAGAATGAAGGTGATAAAATTAAATAGAATCAAAACAATAAATATTTTGAAATTAGTAAATCAAAAATTACAAGTATATATATTTTTCATTTTTTTCAAAGAAGACTGTTTTCATTTTTTCAGATAACACTAAAATAAGTTTTATTTTAAAAATAATAGTTAAAAAAAAATCACAAATAAAGTTTATTAGGTACTAAATAATAGAATTTTTAAATATTAAAATATAAAGTTAGGAAATAAATATAAATTTTGTTTAAGTTGTAATTTTTTAAAATAAAATTCATTTAATTTTATCCTTAAAAGGGGGATCTGAAACAAGTACATCAGAAGATTCAACCGGTAAAAGGTGACTCTAAGTTACAAAGAGATTAACAATCAACAAGCAACAAACAGATTATCAACAAACACATTATCAAAATTACAAAATAAATATACATTTTTGTCTGAGTTTATGAATAATGATTAGAACTTAGTGTTAATTTTTATAAGTAAAGGAGTCGTTTTAAATTATAATGATCAACAACAAATGAAAAGTGTTTTTTTCACAGAAAGTTTATTAAATCATATCGAAGTTAAATCATATTTATATGGCAAGGTATTTAATCTATTAATTTAGAGTCCTAATTTTTATTTACCATTAACAAGTCATAGTATGACCATTTAAAAAATTAGTTAATATGACATATTTGATTATTTTTATCAATAAGAAACTAACTATACATTTGAATTTTATTAATTATTATAAAATCTGTTGAGAAAAAAACTAAAAAAATCTTACTTCAAATTTTAAATATTTTTATATGATAACCTATTAATTAATTTTGTAATTAGTACTATAGAAATGTTATAAATCAATGTTCACTAAAGTTTTATTATAAAACAATAAAATAAAAAATTATACTATTTTGTTTTACAAATTCTGTAATTATATTCTGTATTATATAAAAATATAAATGCTATATGAATTAAATATGACAAAAGTATATTAAATATTTAAAATTAACAAATTTCATTTTATTTTTAAAATTATTTCATTAAATAAATTATCACTCATCATCAAAATGGGTTAAAATTTGTAAATTTAACTAAACTATATAATAGTTTTATAAAAAAAGTTATTAACATAGGTTAAACCTTTATATCTACAACTATATATTATCTTTTTATTTATTTTGCAATTCTCAACAATATATTGTTTAAAATTTTATATACAAAAATATAATAGTATATAATAACCTTTAGTTCATATACTATTTCTAACAAAATGTTATTCGAAAACTATGAAATTTCAGTAATTCATTTAAAATATTAATGAAAAATCAAATTTTAATCATATTTATTTTCATTTTAAATATAAAAAATCTGTTGAGAATAATTTAGAAAATATTGCCCAATATTTGAATATATTTATAAAATAATTTATTAATGTAGTAAAAAAATTCAAAATTCATGTAATCTTCCGAACTCAAAATAGTAGTGTAATTTTTTAAATTTTACAAAAGATAAAACTGTAGATAATAAAGAATAACTTTTTGAACTGCAACACGAAAACTAAACTATGTATGTTGTAAAAACTAAAGCAATCTAATATTTTGAAATCTTAACTAGAGATAAAAATAAAACCTAATATGATCAAAAAAAATATCATACATCAATAAAATTAACTACAATAGTATGATAGTTTCTACTACGTATAAAATTTACTAAGATAATAGGGTTATATTATTTAAATAATTTTTTAACTTATAAATCCTGTAAAATACTAAAACAATATATGTTAAAGTTTATTTTTATACACAACATGTAAATATAAATTATTTTAAACATTTGTATTTTTAAAATATCAATAAATAATTTGTAAAAATATCTTATAGAAAAATGTATAAATTAAAGAAAAAAACATATTTTGAAAGAGGTTATCTATTTGATTATTTCATACAGTTATTTTATTATACCTAACTCAAAAATATATTAGTAAGTAATAAATATTAATTAAAAGTAAAGTGTATTGAACAAATCACTATATATTAATAATTTCGAAGAAAAAATATAAACAATAATATTATAAAGGTACACATATATAATATTAAAATATAAATTATAGATTTATAACATTTCTAATAATATCAAATATATTTATAAAATAAATGAAAAAAATATTTGCACGAATGTGTGGGTTAAAATCTAGTTCATATTAAATTAATGACTGTGGCAAGCAAGTTGATAACTAATGAGAACCCAAGTTGCTGGATTATTATGTGTGGTATTATATTTGTTTACTAAATTCTCTTTTCATTAGATTCACAATATTAGCAGTAGAAGTTTCTAAAAAACTAGTGTGATACAACTCTCTAAATTGTTTTTCAACCCGCCTGGTATGCGTTGCATCCGACGGTGAAAGGGTGAAACTGAAAATGACAATTTGTCCCCAGGTCAAACAAGCAATGCTAGAATATTAGTTTTATTGACTTATTTTTGTTGCAAACTACAAGAAAGTCAAACTTTTAGTATTGCTCCTATAGTCCTATGTACACCTCACACTTGTTCTCAACTTTCATTACAACTCAATTCACTTGTATTTCGTATATATTTCTCAAAAATCTTGTCAAAAAGATAGCATGAAGAGAGAAAGATCTGAGTACGAAGAATCCATCAACAATCTAGACATTGCTAAATGTTTAATGATACTATCACGAACCTCCATTGTCAACCATATTGGTGTGAATCAGTTTACGGAAAGCACTACAAGTAAGTGGTTCGAATGCAAAACTTCTGTCTTGCTAATAGCTAAAAACTGCATCTCA